GGTGCGTGCTGCATCCCTAATCAGCCTACGCACCTTCCGGCCCCTCCTCCTCTTCTCCCTTCCTTGTTTTAGTTGTTTTTTTCTGATTGCCCTGCGGATCCTCGGGTTAATGTAAGAGTTAACCCGGTGCTTACCTTTCCCAGCGAGGTGTCTTCCTGTCCTGGAGCGGCGTGGCTCTCCAGCTCTGGACCCTTTCCGTCCCCCTGTTGGGTGCTTACCCACACGGTGTGCGATCATCCCGCCACCCTCTCCGTGCTCTCCACCGCTGCCTTGCCCCGGTGTCCAAACCGGGGCATTTGGGTTCAAACCCATCGGCAGCTGTCTCCAAGTTGGCTTATCACGACCTACCTCGATCTCGTGACCGCGGTAACTCCCGACCGCCAAACTCAGGATCCTCTCCTACACGGTGCTAGGGACCGTATATCCGTCGTTGTTGGGTGGTTTTTCGGAGGGTTAACTGCACTTGCGGGCCTCGGCCTCCCCCGGGGAGGGGAGGAGGGGGGGAGGCGGAGATGTACTTGGTTAGAGCACCACTATCGAAGCCAGCCAACTCGCTGTCGTCTCCTCTAGCTGGTCAGCACACAAACCAGGTCACGGGGTACACGGGGATGCTCGACGTATGGCATGCCAATATCTTCTGATACCTCCGTAGACTAGTTTTGACGCAACGGGTGCGCTCCATCAGTAAATAACAGTCTCAAAATGCACACGAGTTCATTTCGAGAGCTTGGAGTAGCAAATGTAGCGTCAATCAGCTATCGATCCCTCAACCGACGTATCATCTCGGAGTTGTTCCAGCGTCTACCCCGCGGTTTGATGGCGTCCCTAAACACCCGACCCTTTATAAGTCTGCTTACTTTACGCGTTGGCATTCAACATCAACGCGTTACCCGTTCAGCTAGCTCGCCGGATTTGACTATCACTCCTCCCCGATGTACATTGCCTTTTGGGACAGGTCGGGGAAGATGGAAGGGTCAGCCAGTTTATGAAGGTCAAGCTCTCGGTCTCAGCTTCGTCCGTGAGAGACACTGGTCTTCGAGAGGTGCGGAAATGGTGAAATAGTTTTACAGTAGAGTTGAAACGCGTGGTTGTCACTTCATTCTGCAGCTGGACGTCTATTGAAGAACACACACTGCGCAATGCGAAGAGGTCACAAAATTGGCCCTACACCCGACGAAAGGAAATGCAATCTGTATCAAATTCTTCGGGAATACGTACACGTGATCCATCCAGGATCGGAATGCAATCGGCAGGACGCACTGCCAATCTGTATAGATGCGAGGCAAGTAGGCCCAAAGCAGGGGGCTTGAACGAGCATCCTGACGGTGGCGACAACCCTGTTCAGCGGTTAGGATGGTTCGTACTATTGTTGTCGTCGTCGTGGTAGTTGTCGATGCAATGAGGATAACGTGTGCTTTTAGCTTTCTAGCGCTGAAAGCGTAACTCGCCAACCTGTGATTCTCTTGCCAACCTTCCTTCTGAAAAGGTCACCTGGGCTGGGCCGGGTCTGCTCGCAGCTGCCACTGGTGAGGGCTTGGTGAGGTTCTGGGACCTGTCCTCGGCGAAGAACTACGTGCTCACGCTGCCGTCGGGGGGTCTAGACCGCACCGACAAGTCTACCTGTATCAGCTTCGATCCAATCAGAAGGTTAGAACGAGGACGCCTCAGAAGCATCTACCACGCCGCAGATTTTCCCTCATTATTCTCTTCGGCCTGCATTCCCCGGTGTAACAGTTGAGAAGAACCTCCCGACCCTATCGTAGATGATGATACACTCTGTTTGCCAAACCACTGCTGGGCTTCCACCCAATACCTTGAGTTAACGTAGGTAGAATTCGGTAATTAGTTTGTAATGTGTAATTCGGATTACAAATCTTCATGGGTCCGCACATCACGTTCAAACTTCAAGCGTGAAGTCCCTATCTTTGCTATGTGTCAACACGACAGATATTTGGCAGTGGGGTCGATGTACGGCTGCGTGGCGATCTGGAGATTCGTCGGGGAGTACGAAAGCGGGGCAGACGCAAGCGACCAAGACGACGAGCAGGGGGAACAGCCATTGACTTATGGAAAACAGGCAAGGCACTACCGTATGGATACACACTCAATGCACCAACGCACTTCTGAAGTTCGAGTTGTTTCACACATCAAAATAGTCAATGCAGGGAGCGCAATCGCTATGCATGATTTGCACCTCCTGAATCATCGACAGCGACACCGTCCCATAGGCGACTCAACACATGTTAGAAAGCCAAAATTTGGTTGCAAGAACAATGAAACGACCGCGAGCAGGCCGAAACGCACGTCCAATCCGGGAGTGTTCGAGGGGGCACCCATTGCAAGCACGTGATTGCAACGCCGAAACGGGCTCAGAGCCGCACTACCGCCCTTCAACTCTTGTTCTTCCATCCGACAAAATGCGAACCATGATGTCGTGGAGACCCTCCCTAAACATGAATCTTTCTCGTGGTACGAAAAGGCCGCAAAAACCTCGACTCAACCCCCTATCGGTTCCGTCGTCGAATCCGTGCGTGGAACACACCACTCCAAGCCGTACACTTTGCCATTATATCGCGCATGGAATCTCATCACCACCCCTTACCGTCCGCAACAAGCAGGAAACTAACAAACGTGCCTCCGGACGGGGCACCAAGTCGAACCGACGAGGCAGCAAAACTGCCGGGGCGGATCTGAAAAGGCCCCCCTCCCCCGGAGACTCGGGAGGACCTAGCGATTGGAAGTCTCTGACCCCGACCACCCTCGATAGTGCGGCGGTGGGCCTTCTTCGCTGGGGGGCGGCCGGGGGGGTGCTGGGGGCCATCGGGCGCGACATGGTGGACGGGGCGCACGTTTTGGCGGAGACAGTGCTGCACCGCCAGCTCAGGTAAGCGCAAGCAAGCCGTTCACGCTTGTAGGTTATACGCACAAATTGGTGCAGCTCGCAGTGGTGTATAATCTTTTGTCCAATCTGCGTACTTGCCTCATACGGTGTTCCACAACACCCCAGAAAAAAAAAAAAATGGATGTTGGTGGATACACTCTTTTGGAGAGGGCAATGCTCTCCGGGGTCAAGGATTGCTCCAAAATGTGCGGACCCATGTTGACGTTGTTGTCTCTTCACTGTCAAGGCTCAAGTCTATGTGTATAGTAGTATGATAACTTGCTGTGGACATCATCTCATGGCTGTTTTATTGCACGACCGCTTCGCAGTGGCAACGTCGCGGTTGTGCAGCTCTCCAGCGATACCCTTAGCATCGAGTATCAGAGAGAGGGGGAGGGGAGTGGTGGTGGCGGGAACAATAAACCAATCAGCAGCGGTATGGCAACAGCAACAAAGGGGGCCGCCATCGAAGGGGGCAACTCTTCAACTGTGGAAGGAGAGCACGTCGTGCGGTGCGATATCAGCATCAAGGGCTTCCACCTGCAGGTGCCTGACATATCATGTAGACTACGAGCTTCATCGTGTCCGTCGATAATAGTATATGTCCGATTCAAATTCGCCGAGAACGAGGTACGAATCCAATAGGGCATACTTTGGCCAGAGTTTCCCCATACCACTGGAGCTTACTCCGAACAATAAAAATCGATTCGCACTCGATCGAAAAATGCAACCTACTGCCATGCATGACACGTCACGAGACGTATCCGTGAAGAAACGCTTTGGAGTGTACACAGGGAGCATGGTGGCGTCTAGTTTTCTCTCAACAAGACAAGATCGGAGGATGCCCGCCTACAGAAAAAACAGCTGGATACAAGAGGAAACACTTACATGCTCCACGCCGTTCATCCGAAGCAGGGTTTCCCAGAGTTTTCGTGATGATATGCGTGGTCCAAACGTGCGGGGGTAACGGGTTGACGGGCCGAACACACTACGTGGTACGTTTCGAGCATGTTTCTATTTCATTTCAAGCGCTCCTCCAGGCTGACGCTGGCCTCTGACACCTTGATATACTTAACCACGTCTGTTGTTGCCCCCGGTCGATTTCTTGTCGGTGCTACTCGCGGCCCGCTTTCCAAAACGCCCAATATAAATCGACGTGTTGACGGACGTCTGGCCGAACCCCATCGGGTCTTCTTGCGGATGTCGGAAAAGGGCGACTCTCTTCTAGTACACAACAGCAAGCAGGCACAGGTGAGACGGTGATAGGTGCACCGGCCCGTATGCCCGACAGAGGAAACGAGGAGCATTCATATGAAACTTATTTTTTTGTCGCACGACAACGGCACCACCAGGGTCGACAAGTCTGAACAAGCGGAATATGGTGTCGTGTATTCTGCCTGAGACGGACGTTGATCGAGATGTTCCTCAAGCTGCAGAGAGAGAAGGTAGAGAGAGGGGTATAGAGAGGCACAAGCAACGAGTGTAGGCCCGCCCCACGTATCCACTCTTGTCGAGCGTGAAAACCAACTGTCTCCAGTGACACACCCAGTGATTCGTGAAGCGGGGAGACGGGGCCGGCCTCACTCTCCAGAGAGACGTGTCCCATACCCATTCTCTGTTTTACCCTGTTCCAGCTGTGTAGTCGAACACTTTTCGCTTTCATTCCCCTCCTTCCGGCAGCTGGTGAAACTAAGAGGAGCCGGCCTGTCCCCGAAGAGAGAGGACCCATGGCCGTGCTTGGCTCGGTCGGTCGCAGTGGACGATGCAAGGGATCAGGCTTTCGTAGCCGCAGGCTCCAGGGTGGAGATTTACAACTTGAAGGTGTGTCGTCGGAGGCATCGTTGTCTCACCGTGACAGTGCGAGACGTCACGCATCCACTTGATAGATTTATAGAGATCGATTACTCCACAACCAAGGCGGTGCGAAAATTGACCGGGTACGGTACGTTTAAGGAACGCTCGACGAGGTCTGACGCGAACCTCTTTGGCATTGAAAGCCCCTTAAATTTTGCGCGTTGCGCGGAACAACAAAGCTGTGGAAGTAGTGCAGGGTGTTTGCGACGACTCAATGACTCACAGTAACCGTCGTCGTCGTTGTCGTCGTGGTTGCACTCTACTTCGTACACACAAAATGGTTCCGATGCAGTAGTGAGTAGCCCAATGTGCAGACCGCACAACGGGGAAAAAAATACGTACGGCCCCGAAAGCGCAAGCTCTCCTCGAACAAATATCGGATCCATTTATTTTTCAGGGGGGTTTCAAGAGCGCCCTCGCGTTTACGGAAGCGGAGGGGATCCCCATCCTGGTTTCCCTCTGCGGCTCTTTTTTGGCCGTTGCCACCGATCGGGGAGTGATCAAGCTGTACGACGTCTCCAAGCGGGCAAAGATCGACGCGTCCACTCTACCGGTGAAAACACGAATAGTCTAGTCGGGCAGCCAATTCTCGTGGTATGCATGGGGACAGACTTACATAGATCCTGAATGAGGTAGAGAAATTACGCTGTCCCATCCTAGTGCTATCCGGTGTTTACCATCGGGGTTGGGTTTTCGTCGCTTGGCAACGACGTTGTAAAACAAGC